CTTTCAAGAATAAACGCAAATTTTCAAAAATATAATACTGTCAAGAGTCAATCCGGACTCGTCGGGACTTCGGCGATTCTGGATTATCGATTTTTATAGATCATCAGTTTAAATCTCGTAAGATGGCATGCAGAAATTCTAAAATTAAATAGAAACCGTATTATGAAATAAAGAACAATTATGATCTAAAAAGTATAAAATTTACAAAAAAAAAAAAAAAGCTTAATATTATTTGTACTTTATTAAACTTTCTTTCAATGAAGTTTTTAAGTGCTTCTTTTTGTGATAATACTTTCTCTTATTAGAACAGACATTTTTTTTCAGTACAAGTTGCCGCTGTTCAAGTCCCGTAATTCTGTGCCGAGAATACGACCTACTGGTCAATCGAAGTTTTTCATTTTCACTAACCTCTCGTCAAAGACATGTCTTTAAATTTTTTGCAGCAATTCCACTTTTTTTGATGACATCGAAACCATACTTTCGTTTTGTAGATCCTCCGGGACTTCAGCATCGGAAATTCTATTCGACTAATCAAAGTCAAGTTTACTTTTATAAAATGCTCTTACAGTGTGCAAAAAATAATACGAGATCCATTCAGATTAAGGAAAACGCAATCATCAACATTAACTGAATAGATAAATTAGATAATTTTAGCTTATAACTCCGTTATACATAAAACGCGCACGCGAAAACGTATTCTGCGCTTGCGCACACGCATATGCACAGTCGTAAAGGTCTTACGCGCACGCGTAAATGCCTCTGCGCATGTGTCAACGCGGCACATGCGCATAAAGTTTTTAGCTTTGAGGTCCGGATTATGGGTGTCCAAATTAAAGACTTTTGACTGTATTGGCAAAGGAAAATAGTAGTCTGTTGCTAGCTGCACTGCACATTCTCTTGATTTGTAAAAGAATTTTAATTCTGTAAAAATGATATCTCTCCTTTCAAATACGCCGCAGTTTTACAAACCATAGACAAAGGTATAAACCAGAACTTTCAAAGGCATAAGAAAATAATAACAATAATGAATAAAATACTTTTTATATAAATTTGTTAATTCCTGTAAAAAAAATCTGTTTGCATTGAAATGTTTACACAAATAATTCATACTGAATTTCATTTGGAAGCTATTTTAATGAAAAATCTATTCAAGAATTTCCTGACATATGAAATATTAACTTATTGAACTTCACATATTGATGATATATGTAAAGAATATGAAACTCAAAAAAGAGTACGGGAGGAAAAACTCATAAGTGTTCTAAAAAATTTCAGTTTGGAGGATTATGTTGCATTGAAGAAACTATTCAATGTGATGTAGATTTATTCAAAGAAAATGAAAAATCAAAGAAAGAAAGAAAATGAAAAATTAACTGCAAATTTGTTAAATTTTCAACCAATGTGCCTCTTTCACAATTCGTAGATGACCATTCCCCTTTCTTTTCAAAACTTGAAATATATATATAGATTTATTTCAGTTTATACAGTCAAAAGTCTTTAATCTGGACCTCAAAACTACAAACGTTCTGCACATGCGTCAACGCATGCACATAATACGTTTACGCATGCACGTTTAATGTATAACGGATGGTATAAGCTAAGCTAAAATTATCTAATTATCTATTTCACTTAATATTGCAGATTGTGTTTTTCCTTAATCATCTAATTGAATCCGGCTTATTATTTTTTGCAGACTGTTAGAGCAATTTTATAAACATAAGCTTGAACTTTCGATTATGTCAAAAAGAATTTCCGATTCTGGAGCTACCAAAGGATCTACAAAGCGAAAGCATGTTTCGATATCCATCAAACGAAAAGTGGAATTCCTGCAAGAAATGGATAAAGGCATATCCTTTGATTCTCTAACCATTCCGAATATGTTAATAAATTTCACGCTGCTCTGCGGAGGGGTGTACGACGCGGCGCGCAATGAACTGGAAGTTGATCTGTCAGCACTATCTTTATCTTCAGGGCAGAGATGTTTTTATTTTATTCGGCTTATAATTCCTTACTAAATGTAGTATTTCATTTTGATGTATCCGTTTGATATGATTTAAAACAATTCCTTGCATATCAAGAAAAAATACAGAACAAAAGTTTTTTGGTTTGCAATTTAATTGGACTATATGCGCAATTATGCTTTGAACGAAAGTTTGTTTGAAAAGAAATAGAAAGAAATGTTTAATAAAGTAACAAATAATTAATTTTTTTTTGGTGAATTTTGATACCCTTTAGATCATATTGTTTATTTCTAATACGGTTTCATATTTTTAATTTTGTAATTTCTGCATGCCATCTTACCAGATTTAAACTGATGATCTATAATCCAAAATCGCCGAAGTCCCAACGAGTCCAGATTAAAGACTTTTTGACTGTATTATTTTTTAATATTTCATAAATTCAAACATGAAAAAGTAAAGAAAATGTTGATAAAGACCAAAATTTGAACAAATGCAATGTATATTCATAAACTAAAACTAAATATTTAACAAGTAAGTAGAAGATGAACCTAATACATACTCATTAACCAAAACTAAATATTTAACACGTAAATAAAAGACTGACCTCTTATCCCCCTAAAACTATGAAATTCCCTCAGGATGAGAAACCCTGATATGGAACAGCAGCAGGAAAGATCAGCAGATACTATTGAAGTATTGCAAAATTTCTTTCAAACAGGAAAATCAACTCAATATTTTATTAATCAATGCTGATTAATTACATGAGCTAATACCTCAAAAATGGGGGGGGGAACGATGCTCAGAATGCTATCCAGCATGAAAGATTTAAAAAAAGAATGATTCTTGTTTATGTAAATTATAAATATTTCTTTCCTAATCTTGCATTTTGATTAGGTTAAAAGAGAATGAATGAAAGTGTGAATTTTTACTTAACAGAATTTGCAATTGATAATTTATTAAAATTAATAATTGAGTATGTAAAATGTAATGATAATTCTGTTAAAGTTTTTAAGAAGGAGCATTTCTTATCACCATTTCATGCAAAAGCTGTTTTATACAGTATCAGATTTCATTTGTCATTCGAGGGTCATATTAATGGAATTGACCGTACTTCGCAACTGCTGTCTGTATTTATGCAAATTTTAAATCTTAAATTTGTCAACCATTATATATTGAATATAATTTTGTTAAATGCTTTCAGGTAAATTCATAATTTGACAAGCTGTCAAGAGCACCACACAGTTTTAGTAACAGGAGTGAATTTAGAATTTTATCAATCATATGCTTAAATTGTGCTGAGCTTTTTCGCTTTGTTTCAGCTGATGAGTACTACTTAAAGTAATAATGAATTAGAATGCAATTTCATATTTTTTTTTATATTGCAAATTATAAAAGTGTACAAAGTTATGGCAAAAAAGTAGCAGAAAATATTATAAAATAAAAAAGGGTATAATTAGCACATGAATAACTTTTTGATAATTAATATGCCTATCATAAATTATAAAAAATTAAATGATAAAGTGAGATATACTTGTTAATTTATTATATAATTTGATATGAAGATATCACAAGGAAAGAAGCCAAGCCAAATTCACTACAGTTGGTGGTGATGGAAATAACTAAAAAGTGAGTGCCAAGTGGTATGGTTTTAGTGGTAAAGTACCTATTTATGAAAGTGAGTTATCCTTAATATGGCTGATGTTACTATTTTCATTTATCATGCTTTTGCAGGCGAGTCTTTGCATATCTGACTTTTAATGCAATTATTTTGACTGTTGAAGAGTATAATTAGTACATGAATACCTTTTTGATAATTCATATGCCTATCATAAATTATAAAAAATTAAACGATAAAGTGAGATATACTTGTTAATTTATTATATAATTTGATATGAAGATATCACAAGGAAAAAGGCCAAGCGAAATTCTCTACAGTTGGTGGTGAGGGAAATAACTAAAAAGTGAGTGCCAAGTGGTATGGTTTTAGTGGAAAAGTACCTATTTATGAAAGTGAGTTATCCTTAATACGGCTGATGTGACTGTTTTCATTTATCATGCTTTTGCAGGCGAGTCTTTGCATATCTTACTTTTAATGTGATTATTTTGACTGTTGATTTCTTGGATGCTGATCTTATTTTTGAAGTTAGGTAGGTTTCTTATTTCTATTTCATGCAGATGTTAAAGTTGTATTTTGAGTTTGGTTTCTACTGTATTATCTCCAGTAATTCAAAATAATAATGATAGGAAGCCAAAGTCATTGGGTCATATAGAAAGTTCTGTGGTTTTATTATGATAAATACAAATGAAGACATAAAGAAACATACGAAAGTTTCATTGAATCACAGAAACACTATTTTGTTCTATGACTTTCTGCCATCTCTCTGGCAGCCGATTTCTTTTTTGAAAATGACATTAGGATTATTCATAAAAGAATTACTAAGGTGCTGTTTGACAGCCTCTGAAGAACTGAGTTCCAGGCCACTCAGAGAATTCTGAAGTGACCAGAAGAAACAGAGACAAAATCTAAAAAATATGTGGAGGGGGGATACAAAACATACCAGTCATGCTCAGTGTTTGTGTGACATTCATCGAAGTGTAGGGCCAAACACTATTAGGGAAAACAACATTCAACCATTGGTCAGTTTCGTGCATTTTGCTTTAATTTCTGTTTTTAAAACTGCCATTTGGTAATTGTCTTTTATTTTAATGAAATGCAGCTTAACTACACATAAGATTACTTACTGATACACATAAGATTACCTGCAGAAATAATAGATTATTTCTCTCTCAGAAAATAGATCATATTTTAACTTGTTCAACCCTTTTACAAGATCTTTATATGGTTCGGGTCAATGTGCTGATACACCATGAGAATAATTACATAAGACTTATGAAAGCCTGGGTTACTGAATCAGGACAGATTGTTAAATCAAAAATCATGTTAATATCAATCAACCGCTCTTTCTGAATAAAAAAATATGCATTATATAATAATTTTACAAAAATTCATCTTTGTAAAAAGATTTAAAATGTACTTACTTGGAAATGAATTATCTTTTAATGATCCTACATGAAGTGAAATTTCACACAGTTTTTCTTCAGATGGATTATTAACTCTACCTAAATCTGCACTTTCTGTCCTTTCAACTGGCATTGCTACATCTGATACACTTGAGCTCACATCCTTATTTACACTTCGAGAAACATCAGCAGGCAATACTTCAGTTTCAGAAACTGCAGCAACCTGTAAAGGCAGTGGTGATTTGGAGCCAGCAAATGTATGTAAGGTAACGCTTTCACCAGTAGAACAAGAAGTCAAAGTCATTATTTCTGGCTTGCATGAGTCTCGTGCAGCAAGACTAAAAATATTTGATGGCTTGCGTTGCACAACTGGATTGCTTACAGAAGTCCCAGAGATATAAGTATCGTAAGAAGACATACGATTTGATGAAATTTTTTCACTCACTTCTACAATGCCTCCACCAGACATAGATATACTTTTTACACTTTGATTCCAAAAATCTTTTACTTTTTTGAAATCTTTAGGATTATTTCCCTTTACTTTCCTGTCAAGTGAATCTAAAGTCCGTCCAGTTACTGACAATGCTACATCTCCCACCCGAGCACTTCTAGGAGAGCGAACTTTCTTCTGATTAACCTTACAGGGAACTTCTGCACTAGGATGGTCCTCCTTGTTCAATGTGTATCTTGACTTAGAATCATCTTTTCTTGGACTGACAACAACTGCTGCATTAGGACCACGAAGTGAGATATGTAAAGGAGGCACTCTAGGCTCGGGAACAGAAGATGAAGATGTAGTGGTTGTACCTTTTTTCAAACCCGGAATACTTACAACAGCTACATCAATCTTTTGATTTAGTGGAGGATTAGAATCTTTTACACGTTTCTCCTTTGTCTCATTGTCTTTTGATTCTCTTATAGTTTTAGAGTCTAATTTCAGCCTAAGTTTTATTTTTTCACCAGGTACAGAAGATGTGACAGAAGCTGATGGAACACTGTCTACTTTTGCAGTTGATTCATTTTTCTTATCCTTCCCAGAATCAACAATTAAAGCATCAGTTGACGACTGAGAGGCATCAGTTATGGACTTACTGATGCCAGAATCTGTGTCTGAAGAGTGATTAGTGTCTTTCCCACCATCAGAAAAACTTCGCTCAGAATGGCTTTTCTCTGATGTATCATTTTCAAACTCTGGAAATGGAGGTAGAGAACTTAAGGATTCTTCTTCCTCTTCTTCATCACTTGGCATTGGTTCTAACTTACCAGTCACAGGATTAATTAAATGCTTAGTTTTACCATCGGTCGAAGAAGGTGGTGATGGGAAAGGGTTTGAATCAGTTGAGGTGCTAGGAGTAGAGGGAGCACTAGATTTATCACATTTTAAGGGCCCAGAGTCTTTATTAGTTTTGTCCATTATTTTCATTAGTGAAGATGAATCCCTTCCACTGAATAAAGATCTTGAAGGATTTATTGGTATATTACGTGGAGCAGACATTGCATATGATTGCAAGCTTCCTGTTGGAGGTCTAGCTACTTGAGGTGCACCAACAGGAATATGTGTGTGAAGAGGAAGATTACCCGTGTGTACTTGAGGCTGACCTTGTGCCTGTGGATGGATATTTGGCACTGCCCGATGCCCTGGAGTTTGGCGAAAGGCAGATAGTGTTTGATGACTGAGAGGCCTGTTGGTGGAAACCATAGGTTGCCCTTGTATTTGTGATTGCAATGAAACAGGTGGTAATCCCTGTACTTGAGGATGTATATTAGTCTGTGGTTTTATATTAGAAACAGGAGGTTGACCCTGGGCCAATGGGTGAATATTTGCAATTTGAGTAGAGGGAGGTGAGATGGATAAATTACTTATAGGCACACTAAGTGGCTGGCCAAGAACACTAAGAGGATCAAATCCTCCAGGTGACCTAACTCCCACATGTGATTGAAAAGATGGCGGTGAAGGAGAAGCAGAAAAATTTGGTGATGATACGTTTCCATCTTCTATTAATTTATCTTTTGATTTTCGAGGCTTCCTCTTGCGTTTAGGAGGTTGATTAGAGGCTTGAGAAGGAGGAGGCATCAATTTATTATTTTGCTGTAAGTTTGAAGCTTCACTTTGAAGCAAATTTACTAATAGAGGACTTGATAGAGCTACATTAGCCCTAGAAGTAGACGCCTATTGCATTAGGTGGGACAGTTCGAGACACAACATTGTTAAAAGTAGAATTAGCTATAGTTCGGGGTACTTTTTGCAATGCAGGGTTAGAAGCTTTTGATGAAACAGTTGAGGTTGCAGTAACAGCACTACATGAAGAATTTAGTATAGCAGTAGATAACTGGGCTGCAGAAGAAGTAAAAGAAATTCTTGGGTTTCCCCCTTGTAGAAGTACAGGCTGATATTGAGGACTTGTTGCACTATTTTTAGTATTCATTGCATGAGTCATACTAGCAAAAGGAAATGGCCCAAACCCAGCTGAAGATTTTACAGAAACATTTGGAGAAACTTTTGATGAACTTGGAACAACAGCTGCTGTTGTAATAACAGCTGCAGGTGGAAATGGTATAGGTTCAGTGCTTGATGGCGCTATGACATTTGGTGAACGGAAACTAATTGAAGTGTCTGGTTGTGGAGAAGATACCTTCTCCAACCTTGTAGAAGAGCCCACAGCAGAAGCAGCAGCCGTGGCTCCGCCAACAATATGTCCAAGGAACTGAGTAATATTTTTATGAGCTGGTTCAGCCGAACTAGGGCCAGGCACAGGTTCAGAATTAGGTAAATTAAAAGAGACACTCGCAACATCTCCCTGCTCATCAGATGTTTTCCTCAGCACAATTTCTTGGGGTTCACTGTACTGACTGGCTAGTGTTAATGTGATTACCTTAAAAGAAAAAGAAAAAAAAAAAAAAAGAATCAAAATGAGATATATGATCAAATGAGCATTTTATTAATAATTAGAGAAGTTCACTACATACAAATAAAATTGCTGCATTTCATTGAACTTTTTTTAATGACCTAAAATGTACAATAAAAAAAGGCTAACACTTAATCAGCACAATAAAAATTATAATTTTAAATAATCAGTTCAACTCTTCATACATTTTAATTAAAGAATTCTTTGTATTTTTTAACATATATATTGGACGTACAAAAAAGTTTTGAGATTTTTTTTTAAACTTTATTCAGAGAACTTGGAAGAATGTATTTTATTCAAAGTATTGTCCATCGTTAACTATGTCTTTTTGCCATCTTTCAGATAGCATACGGATTCTGCATTTAAAAAATTCCTCGTCTTTTAAGGCGATTCAAGAACCAACCCAATTTTTGGCTTCTTCATGTGAAGCGCTGCTCAGCCAAGTCATGAGTCATCGACCAGAACAAGTGGAAGTTGGAAGGAGCAATGTCTGATGAATATGGACATCCTATAGAAGCCCCTCCAGAGTTTCCTTGATGACTTTAGCACCATGTGGGTGAACGTTGTTCTGCTGAAAGATCGCTTTGTCATATATTTTTGCATATTGGGTGCATTTGAGCTTCAATGTTTGGCCCAGTTGCATTAACTATTGTTTGTTAACTTTCCCCAGTGATGGTTTCATAAGGCTGCAGTAGTTCATAACATATCACTCTGAGCTGATCTCACCAAATACAGAGCATTAGCTTCTTGCCCTGAATATTTGGTTTGGCCGTTGGAGTTTTGATGCATGGCCGGGCTTCCCCCATGATTTTCTGCACTTTGGGTTGTCATAGTAGATCCATTTTTCGTCCCGTCATGATTCGATGCAGCCTGTGAAAAAAATGGCTTCAATGTCTCTTGGCTTGAGTTCATATGGAACCCAATTTCCTTGGTTCTGCACCATACCCATGGCCTTGGGATGCTTTGAAATCACTTGCTGAGTCACTCCTAAGTTTTGGCAAGCTCTTCTTGAGTTTAGCATGAAATCTTAGTCCAATAACCCCTCCAACTCAACGTCTTCAATATTTACTGGTTACATGATTTTATTGATGGAGCATGATGGACTATATGCTTCACACAGCAACAGATGTCCATCAGCTGCTTTTTTCTTCAAATTAAAATAAAAAAGAAGAGCTTTCCCGCAAATTTTGTTTTGATGGTACAAAGGCTGACATGGGTTGAGCCCAAGAAAATTTGTTGTTTACACCACAGCGAAATGAAACTGAAACAGATTGATTTTTAGATGGAAATGTTGGCACTTTAACATGTGTATAGTTAGAAGACTGTTCGATAGGATTTAACACTAGCAATGCCATCATATGTAAATCCCTCAAACCTTATTTATACACCCAATATAATACACACACATATACATATTCTTCCTTCTACAGAATTACAGATTAAAATGCCTTTAACTGTAACTAAAACTAGAAAATGGATCAAAACAATGCAAATATGTGTAATAAATAAATATTCTAAAAGTTTACTCTTTATGAAAGTATTAAATAAAAGTGTTGGAACTCTATTGAAAAAATATTAATTTGCATGACTGTGTTAAACCATAAATATCTAGATTTTAGCATGTAATTTTAAAACAATAGATTTGACTCCGCAAGAATTGGAAAACTTTTGGACAGTTGCCCACTGGCATCCACCTTATCTGAAAGGCATAGATACAGTGAATGATTGATTTAATGTATATTTGTAAATAAAATAGCTAGTATTCTGTAGAACCTAATGTGAGATCATTTTATTCAGGTGGCTTATTAAATACCATACTATATAAGTGGATTTCAAGAACAAGCTAAAATTTCTTCATGGTTTTTTTTTTTTTTTTATTGTAATAAACATTACTGCCACTTTTGAAGTTTGGAACTCTAGAATTCAAACACCTCTTCTATACTGCATGAACTAAAAAGACATTCGTTATACCCACACTTTAGATAACTTTTGTCAAAGTGACATATTCATCTTGCAAAATTACATTCCAAATATGAAATGAATGTGTTTATATAACTTTATTTTAAAAAAAAGTTTATATTAAGACTATATTTTAAATGTTTATATTAAGACTATATTTTAAAAGTTTATATTAAGACTATATTTTTATATTAAGACTTTATTTTAAAATACGGTATTTGTGGACACTATCATGCAAATATAGAATTTGATTCTTGAAATATAACGTTATTCATAATTTTGTACATTTTTAAAACTGATAATTAATAAAAGATGTTACATCTTTTATTTGTTATCAGTACCAATTTTTTTTACACTAAAACAAAAGCAAATGATCAAATTATTTACTTCTTTATTACATTTCATATAATGTGTTCAACTTTGCAGATATGGACATCTATTAAGACAACCTGTTTCTTCGCACATATGTGTCATCACATTGTACTCAACCACAGAAATACAGATGATGTAGCTTCAAAGATTCTAAAGAATAGTCATAAGTAGAATACAGAATCAGTATCCTTAATCCTTATTTAGAATCAGTAAACCCAAGAGAAAATTACATGGCATGAAGTCCAAACAGGTAATTTAGTAATAGTGCAACCCCACTGGTTCAGTTCAGCAATTTTTTACAAAACATAAAGGTGATTTGGTGAATTTTCGGGTTGCAACTTATGGATACAGTTATCTAAAGAGCTGTTATGTGCATGGTTGCCAAAGTCTGATGATTCCTACTAAGGTGATTGCCATAATACGGAAATACCTCCAAAGACTGAAGTGAGCACTATGTTCATACTTGTCCTGTGTGTTGTATTCAAGTAAGAGGAAAATTTTAATTGAGGTATTCTTACAAATAATCTCGACAATGGTCTTGGTGATCAGAGAACCAGAAAAATGTCTTGTTGAAGAAAGTCCCCCATCCCAAAAGGCAAATAAAATTTTGAAAAGAAATCATCAAGAATATAACAAAAGGTACAGGTTGAAGCAAGGCTGGCACCTATGCATTTCGTAGTCAGGCCTTGTCAACTATTAAGCTTCTGCCCTAATTTTTTTCCAGGTGCAGTCTGAGGGTCTCTTATGCCTATTTACAAACCACTAACCATTTGGGAGGACTTTCAGCTCACTGAATACTATATGAATGCCCCTTCGCCACCCAGACACTTACAAACATACATGCTTTCTCTAGGATTCAAATCCAAGCCCATCAGTACTGCAGCCAGCATTACTAATCATTATACCACCTAAGTAGCCTAATAATGACAATAGATATTAGTTAAGTAGTACACGAAGTGACTCAAGTTATTGTCTCTTTTCTAACCAGCGTATGGCTGTCTGATAGTCACCACAGAGTGCTAAAGGGAAGGAGACTCATTATTTGTTTATTTGTTAAGGGATAATAATTACTATTTCCATTCAACTTGTAGCATCAGCCAGCCTTCCAATGAATAAAGCATTCCAGTGATGCATAGACACCTTCTGTAGCAAGAAATACATAATGGGTTTTTGTTTTAGTGATATAAAATTTAATGCAATAATGAATTTAACTGTTTCAGTGTCATAAAATTTGTTGCTGGAGATATAGCTTATTATTACAAATTTTCTAACTATTTTATGTTATTATTAAATAAGTCTGTAGAATTCCTATATGCTATCCCATTGGATTTATTCTAGATTTTTATTCTTAATAGAAAGAAAAAAATACTGGAAAAATGCTCTCTGTAAGAATATAGCTTTTTTGCTATATTATTGTCAACATACTTCTAAAAGTAATTTATTAAATTTAGTTTTAACAAATTACTGCCATCATAAATTACAAAAATCTAACTTTTCTTTCACTCAAAACAGAAGAAACACACGCCTAAGTGAAACAATGTCTTGCAGGTTTCTTTGCTCCTGATGAAAAGGGACCTGTGCCTGTTTGCCCTCAAAATCGATTGAAATCTTGACTAAACCTATGCCATACACAAGGTTGCTGCTTTGGTAATTTTATCTTCCTTCACTCAGATGCTCATCTAATATTGTTCAAATTCACCCTTTTGAATTTAATTACATTCCTCATCTTGTATTATTGAGAGCATTTGGAATTAAGTATCGCTCTAATAAAAGTAGACTCCTTTATATGTTACACTTTTACTGTTATCTTTTAAAAATATAAATGAAAACTTGCATTCAGTCATAGATGAATATCTTTTACCCATGACATTATGCCCTATGCTATACTAAAAAACAGCTTTTAACTTGATAAGCAGTAAAATACTAATTTGAGTGAGCATTGCAAAAGTGATATTTGACTGAAAACTGTCAGAAAACAGTTCCTTTATCAATTCTCACATTAGAAATTTCTTAGCTACTCTAACACAAGCTGAAGTAACTTACCCATAAAAGGGCATTTCTTCAGTCTATCTCAGTAATGGATAATAATCCAATTCTGAAAATGTCAGCAGATGAAATGCTAAACAATTTCTTTCTAAGCAAGCTTTAGATCAGTACAGCTTCACGTCATCTTAAATTCTCTTTTATTTAGTTAATCATTCACATAATTCTAGAGCAAGTAAGTGAAGAGGAGAAATTGATAGGAAAGAAAAACTACGACGAAAGTTAGTAAAATTCTAAAAATCCTGCTTATTTACTAAAAGTTTATTTATAAAGATATTTTCTCTAAATAATGAAAAATTTAATCGCTTCAAATACTGCTAAATACTCCCAAAAAAAAAAAAAAAAAAAAGCAACAATACTTGTACAAAAAAAACACAAGTCAATTTCTGATTTTAACATGATTGCTTTAAATATGGGTTTTTAAAAGTCATCAATATGAAATATTTAAATACATCATATACACACGTGCACTGACAGTCATAGTAAAATCACAATGGCTCAAAAATAAGCAAATACAGAACAACAATAATCCTTTAAAAGGTAAAGTATATCTGAAAGAAAACTTATACATATCTCTTAATTTCACACTATAA